ACCCTAATAACGGCTGCGAAGGAGACTAAGAATATATTCTGACTGAAGTCGGAAAATATCGGTTGAATTACGCATGTCCATGCAACAAACTCGAGGCTCAATGGAGTAGCAGGTGTTTTACTTCTGTTCATTTTCATTGCCTTTCATACCAATCAAAATCGAGCCTGTAAAGGAAACGAGATTGCATGCTTAAAGGGTAAAAAATATATATGAAGGTTGGCAACAACCGCTGTTTCAGTGTTCTGAAACCGCACTGGTTTGTGTTTGTTTCTTTACTAATTAGAACTTCACTGGAACTTCAAACTTAATTGTCTTTATGTTACTTTTCAAAATCTGAGCTTCCATCTTGAGGTTATGGCTTATCTGCGGGTGCAGTTTATACAGGAACGTTTACGAAGTTAGTCATTAAACTAAAATCTTGTGCAAAATGTGCAGGGTTTGAGCTCGATCTGCGAACAATAAATAGCAGGCCCCAAAACACTTTTTTAATAATTCGCGCAAGCCAAAGGCGGTACTGAACCGTGATATAGCTCTCTCTCTCTCTCTCTCTCTCTCTGCGGGGACTTGGCCACTGGAGATATTTGTCCTCAAAATCACCATAGTTTGCCATGCCATTTTACATGGGTAGTTATTAACTTAAATTGATTGACAGGTTATCATTCAAATTACATGAAACTCCCGTATATAACTCACGAAGGACGTATTTACAGTCGTGTAAAGCCACAATTGAATTGGATGAATTGCTCATGTTTGAGAGCCCCTACTTTTACCCTTATTTAGTGTAGTATTTAAAGGAATTTATGTAAAAAAAAAAGTAGGGGGTGGTGTAAGTCCCCCGGAAAATTGCAATTTTGAAACCGTTTTGGCTCTTTGAGTTATTGGGTATGCCCTTCAATCTGGCCAAGTTTCACTGAAATCGTTGAGATGGCATGTATCACCCCTGCCTGGTCCACTGGTCAAGGTCAAGATATGAATACTTGCCTGGGGTGTAGCTTGTCGTAGTAAAGTACGATAGAATTTCTTTATAGGCGTCCTTTCCCTTCATTATCTTTTCCGTGCCATCCAGTGTTTGATTTGTCGTTTTTGATGTTCTTGTCCCGTTTAAGTAGACATGATCGACAGGCCTCGTTCCCAGGCCACTGGATACATTACCGGGTACACAGTGTGTCATGTGATCATTTTCAAGATACTCAAACAAACTGACCAGCGGCTTTCCAACAAATTTGATGACACCATCGTAAAGGGAATCTGACATATTTTTACCATATTTCTCAATCCATGCAGATAAATCTCGTATCGGAACATGAGATACGAAGTCTTGTATACGAGAGTGTACCCCATACCAAGACAACACAGCATCGGGCTTTTTGCGGGTAAAAAGGTCGAGATTATATTGTTTCACGCACTCTATTCCCTCGGCGCATTCGCTTATTGACCGGACCATTCCTGTCGTCACGCCTCTCTGTAGGTTAAGTTTGTACTGATCGATACCTTGTTGATATTTTGGCAGCATGTTCAAGGCATCTTCTGCAGCTGTCATAGTTTTGTTCTCCTTCGTAAGAAATATGTACAGTCCTCGGCTTACGTGACTTGACAGCGAGGCGATTGGCTCAGACTTGCATCTCTGACTGGGACCCAACATCCAGGCTCCTAAGCGGAATGAAAGGGAAATGCACTAAGTTTACAAAGAATTCAATGAATTCATCAACCTATCTGTCTGTCCATCCGTCCGTCCGTCCGTTCATCATTCATTCATTCATTCATTCATTCATTCATTCATTCAGCCAGTGAGTCAGTCATTCAGTCAGTCAGTCAGTCAGGTAGGTCAATCAGTCAAGTCGTCAAGCAGACAGTCAGTCCGTCAGTCCCTTAGTCCGTCAATCCGTCCGTCCGTCCGTCCGTCAGTCCGTCCAACGTCAGTCCGTCAGTCCCTTAGTCCGTCAATCCGTCCGTCCGTCCGTCCGTCAGTCCGTCAGTCCGTCCGTCCGTCCGTCAGTCAGTCCGTCAGTCCGTCCGTCAGTCCGTCGGTCCGTCAGTCCGGTCTACCAGCTGTCCGTCAAGCAGTTCGTTATCAGTCAGTCAAACAGGCAATGAATTGATCATAAAAATGTTGTTAGCCAGTCAGTCAGGTCAGTCAGTCAGTTATCAGTGAGATACTTCATTAGTCAGTCGGTCGGTCAGTCACTCAAAAATTAGTTAGTTTTTCATCAAAATAATAATAATAATAATAATAATAACAATAACAGTAATAATAATAATATTGATAATAATACTTTATTTATATAGCGCTATTTCTATCACTATCCAGTAGCGTTTGACTGTTCGTTTAAGTTTTGATACGCAAACACTGGTGACGTTCTCCTTCAACGTTACTCACTAAATTAAAATCTGCTGCAGACCAGGAGGAACAACTCCCTGTTCAGTAAAAGACATCTTAACTCAGTAAAACCAAGTGCAGGAATAGATTTACGGTCAAAAATGACTAACCTGTGTAATAATTGTTCTCGTAGGGTTTCCCAAAGAAATGCTTTAATTCGTGTTCAGCAAATGCTAAAAGTCTTCTTTCTCTTAGCTTGAGTCTTCCCGTGTTCAAGCTGGCTCTTATCTCCAGAAGTTTTTCGTAAAGTGTTCGTGTTTGGTCGGTTAACATTTTAGCTGTCTTCGGCGCTGGATCGTAAGGTTGGAAAAGATCCTTGGTGAAATAACTTTTGTAAGGCGTGAAGCTGCTCTGTACCCCTTTGACCTTGGCGAAAAAGGACTCTAAACCTGTGAGTCATAAAATTGCAACGTATATACTGATAAAGAAAAGGAACACTTATCATACCATATAGATAAACAAAAAAAGTAATAGAAATTACACGGTGACATTGGTAACTATAAATTTTTCGGTAAGATGCAGAGTTAGAGGAAAAGTAGAGTGTGACTTGCTTTAATTGGAAGGAGGTTACTGCAATCAGCCAGTTACAGCAAAACTTAAGTTTTTAGTACCCTTAATTATTGCATGCACGCACGTTTACTAGAGAGAAAAACAATCAAATGCATTCTCCAATCTAAATGGCATTGTCAGACTCGTTCCCAGTCCTTTAAGCTTCGTTCGCATGGTTGGCATCATAGGTGAGTGGAAATTGTTAACCGCAATGCCATTTTGACTACTAATGAGTAGAGACTGGGTTCCAGTAGTTGGGTTTTACACCACTGTTTAGTGTTAGCAATGTCACTGATAAACGCCTCGATTTTTCTAGCCGGCAGTCCTTTCCGGAAGCTTCCATCGTTTACGCTGGATTGTAACTTTCCTCCCCTTTTCGTGTGACAAATTTAGAATTTTCAAATCCTCATAGAATACGAGAATAGCATCTCAGAGTACCTAGATTTTTGCATTTTCTACCGAACATTTTTTCGCGCCAATACCCATTTTTCTGGAATGTTTTAGTCTGTCCCTGTATGGTATTTACTAGTAAACACAGCAGACAACCGGAACTCAAAATAATAAGATTTCTGTCTTCTTTTCAAACCAGGGGATTTTTTAGAGTGACTTATTAAGTGTAACGTATATCACAAAGAAATAAGATCTATTGTAGGTTCCAAGGGGTTGGCTATGCATTTGACTATTGTTTAACGGCTTATTTTTTCTGCTGTTTGCATTGCTAAAAAGTGCATTGTCAAAAGGGATTTTGAATCAATGCGTTGTGACAAATTTCTAAGCATTGTTCTATAACCAAATTCCAGTCTGTAATTTCAAGGCGATCAAAAAAGCATACGGTTGAAAAATATGTCAATTTTGGTGAATCACCGCACTACAGATGTTTTTTTTTCTTTCCTTTTCTTTTCTTTTCTTTTCTTTTTTCTTTTTTCTTTTTTTTTTTTTTT